GTCGCCCCCAGCCTGATGAGGGCGGCGGTGTCTGAAGGGCAGGAGGATAGAGCATGGACACGCCTTTTTCTGCGCAACCCCCATACCAAAAAATAAAAAATCCCCTAAATAGGTGTACTAAAAAAGAAAGAACACGGACTTAGGGGAGAGGCTAACCCCAAAGTCAGGGGGTCAGGCCTCGGAGGGATCGCAAGCTGTCTGAGCCTGATCCGTCAAGGTGTACGAGCTCCCGCGACGCAGGCGGCGAGAAGCACCCTCGAGGCCTCCCAGGGGCCGCGGGGAGGGGGAAGGGTTTCCGTGGCGCCATCTTGGCCAGTCCTCCCACTTCCCACCTTCCCCGGGCTCCTCCGGACCGTTCTACCTTTGCGTCTCGCTGGTGGATCCGATCTGGGAGGGATTTCCTTTGAACCCTGCCTCCCTTTCGGGCTTCTTCCGCAGCCTTAGCCAATCATATTGGAGTAGATGGACCGGGATTGGACAAACCAACGTCCTTATTGGACATCGCTCGTGGGGGCGGGAAGAAGGCGGAGCACGTCTCAAAGCGGAAGTGGGCCGTCGCATCGCTGATTAGGTAATGCCACGGCGGCGGAGGCGGTTCCGCTGGCTGCTGTGTGCGCGGCGAGCGACTCCCAGCGCGGCCCGCTCGGCTCGTACACCCGCTACCCGACCTCGACTCTAGCTGCGGCCGGGCCGCCGCCTGAACATGGACTCTGCTGGCCAAGGTAGCTGCTGGCCTGGCGCCTCCGCCGCCTCCGGGTCCGACTGGCCCACGCTCCGCCCCTCCCCGGGTCGCGCGTGGAACTCGGTGCTCTCCTCCTCCGCCTGTCCCGCGCGGCCCCCAGGCGCCCGACCACGATGCTCCCGAGGGTCGCGGCGTGCGTCTTCCGCTCCCATCGTGGACCGCCGCGAGGACGGGGTCCCAGGCACCCTCCCCTGGTCCCCAGACTTTTGGATTTCCTCTCTCCAGGCAGCTCCCATTATGCCCCCGCCCGGCGCTGGCCGGGTCGCTCCACTGTCTCTGCGCAGGGCCCTCGGAGACACTCGATGGGGACCTGGGCCGAGGTGTTGTGCGCGGCGCCCCTGGGGTGGCGACGCTGCTCAGAGCCCAGCCTACTAAGAGCTGGTCTGGTGGGGGAGGGGAGTGCAGTGAGTCAGGGGCACACCCAGCGTACCTGGCCTGTTGACAGACACGCCCCAGACCAGTTTGAGATGGCGGGTGGGGGTGTGGGGAGGTCTCAGGAGATTAAAATCTTGAGAAGGCGATAAGTCTGCCACCCCTTATAAGGCTTTAGAGAGGGGATGGTAGATTTCTATGTTGACATAACTACACTGGATAATTTGCAGGGTGCTCTTCTACAGTTTGACCATATCAGCATATTAATTGAACATTAGAACTCCTGCGTTCTGATACTATTCTGTAGGTTTCCCTACTCTTGATGTCTATTTACAAAATAGTTGAACCTCAAAAGCCCCCGCGGTGGAGAGACTTTGATACCCTCTGGAGGCCTTTCATTCTTTGGCTTGCATCTCTAATTAGTTTAGCATCACCAGCACTGGATTCTGATCATGAGAATAACAGAGAACATTCACAGAGCACCTACTGTGTGCAAAACACCGTACAAAGCCTACTTCTCAAATGATCTTTTTCTATTTTCAGAACAGCCCTTTGAGATTGGTCCTTGTATTGCTCCCATCTGCAGGTGGTTACACAGGCTTAGAGATCAGGAGCTCTCCCAGGGTGAAGGACCAGCCCCATGCTTATTCTCTGTGCTGGCACATTTGTTGAGTACTGTTTCTGCCTGGGGGTGACTTCCATGAGATCCAGTTTTAGCTTTATAGCCAGAAACTGTCCAAGGGCCTTCATTTATTTTTTTAAAATAAAAGAGAAAAATTGTAGAGATTTTAAGGCATTTCCTGAATTTAAGTAGGTTCAACATAGTGGATACAGATGGTGAAGTAAAGTTATGTTGGTTGACCCAAGTTAAAAATCAGAATCAAAATGATTTTAAAAAGGTTATGTTTTGGGGCTTTTCCTTAATTCTCACCCAAGGGAGGATATTTTTTCCATTGCTTTTCAGAGAGAGCAGAAGGGAGAGAGAAGGCAGTTGGTTGCCTTTTACACGTGCCCCAGCCAGGGCTGGGGATCGAGCCTGCAACTGAGGTATGTGTGTTTCCTTGACTGGAATCAAACCAGAGACCCTTCCGGCTGAGGGCTGGTGCTCTAACCCCAGAGCAGAACTGGGTAGGGCCATTTTGTAAACATCTATTGAGCACCAAGGAAGTGCCCAGCTGGAGCTGTGTGGGTGGGGCATGTGAAGGGAACAGGACTGCTAAGTGGAGCATCTTTGGTTTTAAGTACATTCCATCTATTTTTAGCAAACTTCGATTTCTGTGTTAGACAGACATGTCTGCAGTTCAAGATGCATTTACTTCCCTCTAACCTTATGCTTTTTATTTCATTTACTTTTAAAGGTGCCAGACACCAAACAAAGGCTGTTTCTTCACAGTGTGCTGATTAAAGGGAAGATGTTTTTAGTGCTGATCATATAAAAGCATTACCTGACAGTCATGTGATCAGAGTAGAAAAGAACTGAAGTGCAGATATCTTTTCCTTATGTGATGTCTTGTAAATTTTCAGTGACTGCCGAATTGAACCCAGTCTTGGTGTAGCAGAGGAGTGTGAAAACAGGTTGCGAGTCCTTGCTGATGGACGGAAGGGGATTTTTGTGCTGCCGACTCCCTGCAGGGGCTGGATGATTAGCATGTGCTCCTTGCTTGTAATTGTAGCATGGGCTCTGGCAGGTCAGTTGCTTGGAAAGTGGTGCTTGTGTTTACAGACGTATTATGTTCCTTTGCTCTAAAAATGGCAAGTCTGTTAGATTTGCTGCTTTTTAGCAAAGTTTTTCTGTCTCAGAACATAGCATTCTCACAGGGAACCAGAGATAGGGTATGGCTGCCTTGCACCAGCATTTCTAGGCCCTGAAGCAGCATCTTGGGTGGTCTGTGGTGTGGCTGCCCTCAGTCTGATGGCCCAAACCATCTTCACAGAACCTTTCAGAGAAGAGGGATTGTTAGTCTCCACCCTCCTCCCCTGCCACCTGTCCTTTCACTCTTCTCTACCCCATGTACTTCTCCATAACTTCTTACTTGACACTTTCTGGCCTCATTTTGTCTCTGGCAGATATCAGCCTGAATTCTCCTAACAAAGGCCTGCTGTCCGACTCCATGACGGATGTCCCTGTTGACACAGCAGTGGCTGCCCAGACCCCTGCTGTGGAGGGTCTGACGGAAGCTGAGGAGGAGGAGCTCAGGGCTGAGCTCGCAAAGGTGCTGTGTCTTGGCTGGCCATGAGTCGAGGTTCTCTCAGGCTAGTGAGGGCCAGAGTGCTGGCTGTGCTCTGGAGAAGTTGGATGTCATCCCCAAGGCCCCAAAGAAACTGCTCTTTGCAGCCCTGGCTTTGTATGTGCCCGGCTCCTCCTGGGTGCTACAGAGGGAGAGTGTCCACACAGGGACAGCTGCTCTGAGCACACCATCCACTGGGAATTCCTCTTTGGAGTTAACACCTGATATTTTCAAGACCCCACAAACCTTATCACTCCTGGATCTTAATTTGTCTTCCAGAAATACTTCTTTCGTGAAAAGTGCTGCTTGTGATCTTTTTAAAGTGAGGATCCCTTAACAGGAAGTAAGAGTTAAGAACAAACGCCTCCAAGTTTAATTTTTATTCAAACCAACTGCCAAGAGTATTTTTACCATGTGATGCAGAGTCTGATAGTGACTCAGCTGAGATTCCAGAGTCTGGGGAAAGAACTTGTTAATATCTGACAGTAGTGTCCAGTCAGGCAGAGGCCGAAGCCCTGCTTGTCACAGGCCTCTGCTGGGTCTCCAGAGACAGGCCCCATCTTACTATATCCTGGATCCAGTCCTAGGTCTAAACAGAGCTAGTTGTGCAGACAAACCTCAGCTCCAGGACCAGGTTTTAGATCAAGAAAGCATGTGGCTGTTTCTGAATTGAATAGCTGTTAAGAGAAAAGCAGAAGTCCAAGGACATGTATGCTTTCCCTTTTACTTAAGATATGGTGGCATTGAGACTAAAACCACCAGGTCTTTTTCAGAGTTGAATTGCAAAGTGGAACCGCTTTTGTGTTACTTAAAAGTTTCAACTTGCACGTTCCCAGGACAACTTGACCACATGCCCCTGTCAGTCATTATACCAGGAGTGGAGCATTTTGGTCACTGGTTGTAATTGCTTGAGCAACTGGTAATAGTTTGGCCTTAGATAATGCTGTGTTTTTATTTATTTTTATTGATTTCAAAGAGAGGAAAGGAGAGGGGGAGAAAGAGACAGAAACATCAACGATGAGAGTCACTGATTGGCTGCCTCCTGCACGCCCCTGCGATAGCCCACAACCCAGGCATATGCCCTGACGGGGAATCAAACCACAGTCTTCTGGATCATAGGTTGATGGTCAACCACTGAGCCATACTGCAGGGTGATACTGTGTTTTTAAATTATTTCTTGTTTCAACTGTTTTCTAAAGCAGAATCTAGGGATATACAGGGCTCTAAGCTGTTTTTAGTGCCTTAATCAAAACAAGCATTTTTTTAAAGAAAGGGGCATTTTCAGAATAGCTGTTCACATGGGAGCTGGAAATACTGAAAACTCTAAAATAGTAAGACTTTAATGCATGCTCCCTTCTAAGGTCACTGTGGTGATTTTTAAATCCTCACCTGGGGATATTTTTTTCCATTGCTTTTTAGAGAGAGTGGAGTGGGGAGGGGAGAAACATCAGTGTGAGAAAGACATCAATTGGTTGCCTCCTGCGTGCACCCAACCGGGGCTGGGGATCGAGCCTGCAACTGAGGTGCATACCCTTGGCCGAAATTGAACCCAGGATCCTTTAGTCCCTGGGCCAACACTTTAAGACTTGAGGAGGTTCAGGGTTCTCTCTGTTACTCAAGCTACCTTAAACACAAAAGCAAATTTACTTTTGGCATGTGTAACTGGCTTTTGCCAAGGCCTGGAGCTGACCTCAGGAACATAGATGTCATGAGGGCTGTTTCTCTGTCACTTGGCTCTCTGGCCATTCATCTGTTTGTCAGCTCTGCTTCCTTCCTACTGCATATGGAATTCCTCCCCAGTGGAGATGGGGCTGGCTGCCAGACACTCCATCTTCTGTTACCCAGGTCCAGGGCCCAGAGGAAAGGGGGCCTCCCTCCTCTCACTCCTATGCCCAGTCCCAGGGCAGAGCTCTGGCAGGCCTTGCTTAGTTGTCAATGGGTAGGCATGGTGATTGGTAGCCCTAGCAGAACCACTTGGCTTGGGGGGCGGGGGGACGCGAGACAGTTCTGCAGAATAAGTTGGGGGGCTGGTACCAGATAAAAACAGATGTCTGCTATAGATGCTATTTCTGAGATGAGTTATGCTTCTGTAAGTGGACAGTTTTTACATAATTGAGAAACCCCTCATTGCATTGTATAAGGATGTCAGTCACTTCCTGCGATAGTGTAGGTAATCATGTCCACTGTGTGCTTATGCAGGTGGAAGAGGAAATTGTCACTCTGCGTCAGGTCCTGGCAGCCAAGGAGAGGCACTGTGGAGAGCTGAGGAGGAAGCTGGGTCTCTCTGCCTTGGAGGGCCTGAAGCAGAACCTGTCCAGGAGCTGGCATGATGTACAGGTCTCTACCGCGTAGGTACCTGCCTGCGGCAGGGGCTCCTGGTGGTTGGAGAGAGTGATCACGGCGTGGTGCCTCTGCCCTGTCAGTGGGTGTAAGTTCTTGGGGACGAGGCTCCTCGCAGGAACGGGATCAATGTGCCTGCTTGGAAGCAGCCAGCCGGGCCTTGCGTCCTTGCTGTAGCAGCAGTACTCGGTGCTCTCATTTATTCAGCTCGGGGTCTGAACCTCCTCAGGTCTTAAAGCGTACACATACCGTAGAAGGTGGGTGGAGACGCAGCCCGTTGTCCAAGTGGAAATTGACAAGAATATGTTTTGTATCCGAATTTGAGAGAATGCTAATTAGGTCCTCGATGAGATTGACTCTCCTGTGGTCCCCATAGCTGAGTGTCTGCTCAAGTGGACATGAGTCCTTCTTGTGACTAGGATGTGGTCACAACCCAGGGCCATTGCACAAGACGTCACTCAGCTCTCTGAACTTGGGCAGTGCGGCTCCTTAGCTCCTCTGAAACATAACCTCCTAGGTGGGAGTGGGAAGTGTCCCTGCTGTCTCAAAGGCCTGTCCCACTTCATAAACCATCTGGGAAACCCGTTTCTGTCATAGGAAATCACAGGTTCTGAATTTCAAAGGGTGACTGTCATGGAAATGTTTTGGGGCCACAGGCTATGCCCTTCCTTCCCCTCAGCAGTGTTCCCCAAGAGCCATCTTACATTGAATGACCCAGGCACTCCCTTGGCCTGACAGGAAAGAACTGGTCTTTTTTGCCATCACCTCACCTGGCCTCACCTAGGGCTGCACAGCAGGCACTAAGCAGGAGCCTGGGACCCTGTTCTCAGGCAGGCTGAAGATTTCATATTCCTGCCAGTCAGTCAGTCCTCTGTTTTCCCTGGAATTTTACCTGCAGTTTGAAACCTGAGTTGAAATAATTTTTCTAAATCATTTACTACAGACTTTTTGTTTTTAGCTATGTGAAAACTTCTGAAAAACTCGGAGAGTGGAATGAGAGAATGACCCAGTCGGACCTGTGAGTGCCTTTGCCATCAGCACCTCCCTCCTCGCCTCCTAACACATCTTTTAGGGACAGGCAGGCAGCGTGCACTTGGCACAGAGCTAGTTGTGTTTCCTGGCTATTCTGTTTTTCATACAGTTCTTTCCCCTCAAACACAAATGAAACTATCCTTCACACTCACACAGCCATCAAGCCGCACAGAACACTTCTCTTTGCCTGGTATATATGCCTTAAAGAAGAGACTGAGCTAGCCCGGGCAGGATCTCTGGCTCATAGACGCTCCTTGGCTTTCAAAGTGGGCAAATGGTTGAGTGCCACCTGGACCAGTGTAGGTAGTACCTTTTTTTTTTTTTGGTCCTGCTTCCTTCTCCTGCATACCTAACTCCAGCTGCTGGGGTCTCCAGAACTTCACTAGTACTTAGGGGGTTCCTTGAGTTGGGATGTAGGCCGTGCCTATGGGATCCTGAAGGAGTCCCTTTGTTCTAAGAGGACCAAGCTCTCAGCCACACAGAACTAACAGTGCAGAAGACACAGATCCGGTTGAAAAGGACTGATGTTTTACCTGAGATCCTTAAACAAGATAATAGAACTTCATTTATACTGCAATCTGATTATAACTCTTCAAACCTTGTGAGACAGTATATAAAAACTGGTTTTCTGGGATTTTTCTGTCTCATTTAGGAGGAAGTGCTGTTATGGTTGCCCACAGAAAGCCCTTCTGTGTTGGGCTAAAAGGAAACAGGTGCTACTCCGCTTATCCTGAAGGTGCCTGGGACCCCAGGTTGGCTAGCTGTGCGTGGAGCCTTTGCAGCCTGGTGTCCAGGGGACTCTGGTGGTTCATGTTTTATGCCGTTTGTGTGGTGTGATAGACAGCGGGTCGTGGCAGTGGCTGTTGTAGGAGCGTGGTGGTATTAGGCAGTACTGATAGGTCAACTTGGTGGCTGTCATCAGCCCACTCACAATGCAGATTTCACCTGAAGATAGCCTTCGGAGACTTCAGTGTGCTCTGTGAAACCAGCCAATGTACCATTTCAAATCACTACAATTTTGACTCCTCTGAGAGGAGCCTGTGGCTCTGGGTGTGGAAGTATGTAGCCGGCAGCACAGCCTTTCCACACATTTTGCCAGGCAATGGCTGTTCCCGAGGTCTCACCTCATTCTGTCAGTGGGAAAGTTGTCAGAGTGATGCTTCCAGGCTGGAGGCATTTTTCCAGGGACCATCCAGGAGGAGGGCCACATGGCCAGGGATGGGGTGGCTGGCTCTGGCTGAAGGAGCACTGGGGTGCCCAGTTGGTGCCCCCAGGGTGTCGCTGCAGGATGGCTGGCAGAGTGTCTTGATGGGCAGACACAGTGGGGGTGAACCCATCTCCCCAACTGTGGGTCAGCTGGCAGTGCTGTATGGCACTGGAGGGCCTGCCCTGGTGCTTAGTGTTATGGAACTGTGCTGGAAGGAAGCAATTTAGATGCTACTGGTCCTTCGGTCAGCCAGCTGCTCCTTTTGATTTAGACAGCTGTGCTTGAGAGCAGCCATGTTTTGTTGATAGTGAAATGATCACCTCATTGGATTCATTTTATAGGTAGATCTTAGCTAAAGCCGTACTGAGAGTGGGCACCAGGTGAATTCCGCAGTCACTACTTGATTCAGTGTAGTCACTGTATTGAGATCTTTGGTTGCAGGTGACGGAAAGCACAACTAAAAATAGTGTCAACCTAAGAGGGTGGGGGAGGCCTTGCTTGTGGAAAAGCCCCTTCTCCAAGCCCACTGACCAGGGCTCCCATGGAGCGCTGGGGACCTTCCGTCCTGCCCATAGTGGCTTTCTTCTCAGCTCCTCCTTTATGATGTGAGCCCATATGTGGGTCTCACTGGACTTAGAGTAGACCTTTGGCTGTCCAGACCAAGACCTCATGCCCACCTCCATTGGGGGGTGGGGCAGCCCCTGCGGGAAGGTTCCTCTAACAGATAGATGCTCCAGAGGAGGCTGGCATTTCTCAGGGCTCTACACCTGTGGTTTCCTAAAAGGTAGATGTGATCCCCAAAGTGGTGCTGACCAGGCGGCATAGACTGGCACTCAAGCATGGTGGGGGCCAACTTGCTTGGATACAGATGCTGGCTCTGTGCCAAGAGCTTCACCGTCTGAGCTTGGCCTTTGCACCTGTTTCAGTTTGGAGGTTCCTGGAGAAGTCACTGGTGACACCTGTTTGTATATCCCGGAAACGCTGAGGGCTGTGAAGGGTGGGGAAATTGTCTCCAGTTGGTCTCCGGTGGGGTGCTTGCCCGAGGAGTCACCCACAGGACGCCCTTCCTCATCACCAAGAACGCATGGCATGTGCTCATTCTCTTGGACTTCACTTTCCCAGCTTGACCGTGTGGGCACACACAGAGGTTCTGTAAGACTCTTTAAATCCTCTGCTTCTGACTGTTTTTCTTCAGCAGACCCTTGGATGTTAACGTGGTCTCCTGTACTTGCTACTTTGGGAAAGACTGGGCCTAAAGATGTGTTCTGAGTTTGTAAGTAGATGTTGGGTGTCCTTAGTTCCCTTGCACTTGGTGTTTTATCATGAATGCCTGTGGCTCCAGGTGCATAGAAGTGTGTTTCTTGCAGATAATCTTATTAGCTCCCTCTGAAATGGAAGTACGTCTTCAGGTGAACCTTGAGTTTGTAGGCTTAGCAGGCACTGCGATTCAGGCCTTAAAGAAACTCTAGTGCCTTTCCTCAGAAGGCTGTGTTGTGGGGATGTGCTATTACACCTGCCACAGGTGCCTCTTCACCTTGATTGCCACAGTTTTGCTGGACCCTGAGACAGGTCGTGGTGTAGGTGGCAGCCCTAGACAAAGACGCTGTCAGGTTCGAGGATCACAGCAGAAACTGAGCCAGTGTGGGCAGGCTGAGTGCTCAGGAAGCTGGCCCAGGGGAGGAGGGCAATGGGCACTCACAAGGGAGGAGCGGAGTGGGCATTCACAGGAGCCTCCCACAGGTAGCAGTGTGCAGCGGATGGGCAGGAAGGGCTCAGAAGACCCACTGCTGGTGCCGTCTGACCCTGCATTCACCTGTGCCCATGTGATGCCAGCAGGGCCAGTATAGGGTGGTATTTTTTTATTATTTTTTTTGTTTAAAATATCGCAGATGTTCTTTTTTCTCCCCAATGACCCGTTCCACCCTGTCCCTTAGGGTGGTATCTTGAGAACTCAGCTATCTGAAGCCATTATTTTCTCAGGATTGCCAGGTTGTCCAGAAAGGAGTTCTTGGGTTCAGGCTGCTGTGACTTGTTTGTGGTAGCAGCTGGAAGAGGGCTGGTAGCTCCAGGTGTTCGCTCTTGAGGTCTGCCTAGTGGTGTCCTTGTTGTGAGCCAGGAACCACCCCCTAGAACTGAGAATGGTGGCATGAGGTGTAGGTTACTGGGTTCTGAAAGGACAGAGTGAAAGTGCAGCAGGTGGAGGGCAGAAGGGGCCCTCAGTGTGAGAAGGCCGGCACTGCCCGGGCTGCACGTCACGGGTGTCAGTGGGCTGCAAGGACTGTTTTACAGGAGATTGTAGGAAGAAGCTTCCTGAAGGCAGCAGCAGGGAGCCCAGAGGACATTTCTAGCTTCTGCCCGAGATCCAGGGCCTCTGCAGCCCCAGGTGCTGCTTCCCAAGAGTCAGAGTCGCTGTGCAAATACAAAGTGGGGCAAGTAAGTTTCGAATGAGGTGGGAGAACAGATGAATATCAGATCAGAAAACAGTGCTTTTGTGGTCCAGGAGGTCACAACCTGGCAGTGCTGCTTCTTTCCCCCGGGGAACCTGGAGCTTGGGCATCTGGCTCCTCCATGGTGCTTAGGCCAGTGTTCGTGATCCACTCCTCGGTGCTGTCCAGGCGCTCTGTCCTTGGCTGTGGGTGGCGGCTGCCCCTGTGTTTGGTTGGTTTAACTGTGTATCTTTTTCCCAGCTACAAGAAGACTCAGGAAACTCTCTCTCAGGCTGGACAGAAGACTTCAGCTGCCCTGTCCACAATGGGCTCTGCCATCAGCAGGAAGCTTGGGG